TGCAAAAAGACCTTGTTACCTGTAATCCCTTCTGAGTCTTGGCGGGCTTGACGAACGAAGAGAATTAGATCTAGCAACTGTGCTAGTCTTAGGTAAGCCATTCTCAGTATTTTTATCACTGGTAGAAGTCCTTCCTTTCGGATCATTGTGACCTCGAACAATGGTTTTCAAATCTAAAATTTCCGTAGGTGTAATTTCACTCGGGTCAACCAAAGGTAGTGGCCTGTTTGTAGATTTTAAAATTTGATTGTTTCCAACGATAGAAGCCCACTGTAACGGAAGTCCAATGAATTTTCCTTCACGTTTATCAAATCCTGTATGTACACGATGTTCAAAATTTGTCGGAGTAGATATTTGTGGTTTCTTTTTCTTCTTAGCAAACATTGCCCCTCCTGTAACAATTATATTAACACTGACATACTTGAGACATAACTAAGATCACACAATACCCTGCTTTGAACACCTGTACATGTTTACATATTCGCAGAACACATATTTGAACAAATATGTAATCACAATTTTCAAATGACAAGAAAATCCTGATGAACAACACATTAGAATCTGTCAATTATGTTTATTGCGAGTGTATTATTCAAAGAATGATTTTTATATATTATTGAACGTACACGATACTCGAAAATAATTGAGAAATTAACATTTACTGTGATGTAGAGAGGGAAGAAAGATGCGATTCGCGAGAAAACTGTATGGCCGTAAATTTAGAGAAAATAATAGAGACGAAGAGAAGCCAAATGACAGCAACGCCTACCAGTGCGTGATGCGATTACTTTAAAGTAGTTTCTCCGAATTGTTGGTTAGATTTCACGGGAATTGCTATTTTTCGTTAACGTCACACTGTTCTAAAAGAAATGCCAAACTCAAAATAGCGTCGAAACATAAAAAACTTGAGTAATTAAAATAAGTAAATACGGCATTTAGCCTTTCGACAGGTCGTTCACACACCGGCGCTCCACGCGGAGAGCTTACGAATCTTTCTTGGCATTTGGCTCGTGACAATTTACTCAAATGTGCGTCAGGTAGCACCTGCAATGAAATTACCAGAAAGAACATAACGCATAGAAAACTATGCCAGGAGAAAGCAATTCCTGATTCGAAAAGAAAGGATACATCGACTCGCTATCACTCTAGCCAGCATGCCAGCAGCACAATTTTTCGAGGAACAAGTTATACGAAAATTTCTGTTATTCATAATTGTGTAAAATGTTCGTGAAAGTAATTTTTATGTTAAATCAATGAATATATATTGTATTTGAATTTTTAGATAAATCTTGTTAGACAATTTTTTGAACTTTTGTACAACTTTTTGACCGATAAATATTCAATTTAATATTCAATCTCTACTATTACAGTATGTTCCTTCGTTTTGCATGCATACATATGTACATATGTATCGCGCAGTACTTACACGCATTGAACGAAGAGAAAGAGATCTGCCTGTTCACGAATTTGATTTTAAAAGCACAAAACATTTGGGAACTAATTACACGTATAAATCGGATATACATGTTTTGCAGTATTCGCACTCTGCTTTTTGAAAGGAAGGAAAGATTGTCGAATTAAGAAGAGAATAAAAGTATAGGAAGGAAGAGAATAAAAGTATAGGAAGGAAGATGCAATATCGTGACGTGAAATGTTCGGTTCTGCTTCAAACTGGAATTACTGAGAGATGAAAAGAAAGCGTTTAGATGATCGATCGTACGAACTCATCAGAACTATTAAAAATGTACGAGAGAAAGGGGAAACTATTTCCCTCTGTCTACTTAAAAGTTTAATCGAACAAAATGTTTCATCGCTGTTGTTTCCAGTTAT